CATCTGTCTTTCTTACAATTTCATTAGAACTTTACGTCACAATGACAAAGAGTGAAATCTTAGACATTATTAATGACATCACAGTGTAAATGACTTAAAGGTACATTCCACTTTATTGAGAAAAGTTTTCATTATCAAAAACGTCGTAAATTATACCTGAAATTATTTCTATATGTAGTATGCTATTTATATCTATGTATCTAATTGATCAAATTGAAGTTGTTTTAAAAGGGTTAATTAAACACGGAATGTACTAATTGGGTACTAATTGAATTAGGCAGTTTGACCTAGTTTTGGCTCAATATTATTAGTTGAAACCTTTAGAATATGTAGGAGACATATTTATCTACAATTAGGCATTTATTTTACTCATATCTGACAGTAGTTTTCTAACAGCTTCCAAAAAAGATAAACTTTCAAAGTTTTAGCAATCTTACGTAATGATTTTAAATATTTTGGAATCAATGGCTGGATTTTTTACATTAAAACTTTCATATATTTTAAAGGATACATTTCTCACATTTTGTTATATAGTTTTTGGACCTTCAAAAAAAAACGAAAGGGCAAAACCAAAATTAATCATATAACACGCCAACACGAAACTGAATGAAAAATATGATAAACTTTGTACCAACCTGAATTTGGGATTAGAAGTGTTACAATACAGTTTGACTTGGTTTCCAAGTTTCCAATATTCATTTCTTTTAGACTGGGAAACTATCTTTGGAGGATCCCAGCTTAGTTCTATAAAAACAAAATATTTGTTGATTAATCAAAAATATTACTTTAACCAAGGAGGTGTACAGGGGAGGACCACCCATATACAAGACTGGACACTGTCTGAAATCTCACTCAGAGTTAGGTAATGTCTTACGTTTCTATAAGGTTATGATACTGCAATCTCTAATCCAGAGTTAGTTGAGTTACATGCAGCATTAGAGCAGTGGACATATCTCTCATATATTCCATCGACGTCAAATAAGTCTGAGATTATAAAAGTCCCAGTCAACAATCAACAGAACTCATCTGTCAATTTACCCAAACAACATTCTGGTTTAACAAATGTTTTAGGCTTTATAAACAATCTTTCAATGCAAACTTCTAAAAGAAATTCAAACACTTCTTTCATATAAATATGTTAACATCAGAACCTCACATGTTTTTGATTAAAACAACAAACTGCTTTTTTTGTAAAAAGTTTTTATTATCAAAAGTGGTGTAAATTATACCGGAAAATATTTAAAGTATGCTATTTATATCTTTGTATCTTTTTGATCAACTGAATTTGTTTTAAAAGGGTTATTTCAAAATGGGGAGTACTAATTGTTAATTAAGCATTTTGACCTAGTTTTGGTGTTTAGCTTTATATTGGCTCAATATTATTATTTGAAACCTTTTGAATGGTCAACCTAATATCAAGAATAAGAGAAAATGTGATAATATTTGAAGAGTTACCTGAATCAGGTTCTGAACAGTTGATTCTAGTTTCATTATTATAGAATTCAGCATTACAACCACCACAATAGTTAGCTCTGTAATAATACAAATATATTATAGTAATATCAACAAGGACTGACATCCATATAGACAATCATAAAGCAGACTATCAATATTATGAAGTTTTTGATGACGTCACAAATTATGCCTTATCACGTAAGGTCCTTCAAACATCAAACATTTAGATTTGTGGAATTACAGGAACCACAGATGGCTGATTGAAAATTTGAATGGTGCAAATTGATGAAAACTTTTTTACAATTCCTTTAATATAATGAAACTAAATAGGCCTAGTATCATAAACATTTTCTCAAGCCTGAAAATAGCATTAAGAAAAGTAATAAATATAAATATATACATACTTGCAGTAAGCATAGGGATAATCTGGACATTTGTTAACTTCACAAGGATCTTTCAAACAGGCATAAATCTGTACACCTGGTGGACATGGACCTGAAAAATAATAATAGTATTTAAACATTAAAAGACAATTAAGATGTAGAGGGATATGCCTTGAAGACAGGGGTCAGAGTTGGGGAACAGAAGTTCTTCCCAATAATTGTGTTTAGGGCTGGGCGATATACCGTTATCACCATAAATACCAGTATAGGAATTTATACGGTTAGTAATTAAAAATACTGAAATATCATCATATCCTGATATATGGTAGTTTATATCATTATATATCGTCATATCCTGATTTATGGTAGTTTATATCATTATATATCGTCATATCCTGATTAATGGTAGTTTATATCATAATATATCATCATATCCTGATTAATGGTAGTTTATATCATGATATATCGTCATATCCTGATTAATGGTAGTTTATATCATGATATATCGTCATATCCTGATTTATGGTAGTTTATATCATGATATATCGTCATATCCTGATATATGGTAGTTTATATCATGATATATCATCATATCCTGATTTATGGTAGTTTATATCATGATATATCGTCATATCCTGATTAATGGTAGTTTATATCATTATATGTCATCATATCCTGATTTATGGTAGTTTATATCATTATATATCATCATATCCTGATTAATGGTAGTTTATATCATGATATATCATCATATCCTGATTTATGGTAGTTTATATCATGATACATCGTCATATCCTGATTTATGGTAGTTTATATAATGATATATCATCATATCCTGATATATGGTAGTTTATATCATGATATATCGTCATATCCTCATATATGGTAGTTTATATCATGATATATCGTCATATCCTGATATATGGTAGTTTATATCATGATATATCGTCATATCCTGATATATGGTAGTTTATATCATGATATATCATCATATCCTGATTAATGGTAGTTTATATCATGATATATCATCATATCCTGATATATGGTAGTTTATATCATGATATATCGTCATATCCTCATTTATGGTAGTTTATATCATGATATATCGTCATATCCTGATATATGGTAGTTTATATCATGATATATCGTCATATCCTGATATATGGTAGTTTATATCATGATATATCGTCATATCCTGATATACGGTAGTTTATATCATGATATATCGTCATATCCTGATATAGGGTAGTTTATATCATGATATATCATCATATCCTGATTAATGGTAGTTTATATCATGATATATCATCATATCCTGATTTATGGTAGTTTATATCATGATATATCGTCATATCCTCATTTATGGTAGTTTATATCATGATATATCGTCATATCCTGATATATGGTAGTTTATATCATGATATATCGTCATATCCTGATTTATGGTAGTTTATATCATGATATATCATCATATCCTGATATATGGTAGTTTATATCATGATATATCGTCATATCCTGATATATGGTAGTTTATATCATGATATATCGTCATATCCTGATATATGGTAGTTTATATCATGATATATCGTCATATCCTGATTAATGGTAGTTTATATCATGATATATCGTCATATCCTGATATATGGTAGTTTATATCATGATATATCGTCATATCCTGATATATGGTAGTTTATATCATGATATATCATCATATCCTGATATATGGTAGTTTATATCATGATATATCGTCATATCCTGATATATGGTAGTTTATATCATGATATATCGTCATATCCTGATATATGGTAGTTTATATCATGATATATTGTCATATCCTGATATATGGTAGTTTATATCATGATATATCGTCATATCCTCATTTATGGTAGTTTATATCATGATATATCGTCATATCCTGATTAATGGTAGTTTATATCATGATATGTCGTCATATTTTTGTTCAGATTATCTGAAGTTCCTTAATATCTTATAACTATGGAATACAATACAAATGTAGAGACACTATCTCTCTCTCTCGCCTAAAACAAAAGAAGCAAGAACCTACCTGTAGTATTTTTTGTAGTACAGTTTGGCAGACCATCATAGTAAGGAGCAGACTCTCGTTGGCCGTACTGATTTAAACAATAACAAGCCTTTCGTGACGTGTCCTGTACATCTACATCACAATCAATATTAGTAGGTTGACCATTATCATCACAAATAGGTAGAAACATTGAGGTTAGATTGACACTTCTTGTAGCAGTTAGTATCATGTCACGAGCATTCAATGCTCCAAATGATTTGGATCCATTCAGAAAGCTTACCACTTCAACTGTTAATTCATGAACTCTTTGACAATCAGTTTTATTGAAGTCTAAAAATAAACATTAAAACAAACTTTTTCAATCTACTTTTGTTCATAAAATTAATTGAAATGAAATGATATCAGGTTTTCGTCGTACTGTTCTACACCTGTTTGGGCTAATCAGGACAGTTAAAATAAAATAAGAAACCATTTTAAGTATATCATATCACCTTCATTGTGGTTTTGAAGATGCCTCATAATTTTACTTTTTTTAAAATTGCACAATTTAAAGATATTCAATGAAGATATACAGGCCTACATGATATTTATAATAATTATTATACACAAGCATATAAACAGTTCTTACCATCACCAATCTGATCACAAAGTGGCCCTGTTCGACCATCAGGACAGGAGCATAGCTTTCCACTGATGATATCTCCTACACATTTACCTCCATTCATAGTACATGGGTCTATTTGGAATGAGTTGCATAGGCGAACTAAAAATTACACAAGGCATTCAAAATTACCCTCTATTTCTCAAAAAACTTATTATCAAAATTTCATAATGAATGAAAAAAAAAACCCAAAAGACAGAAAAAAAATCAATCAAAATATTCTTTGCACTAGGTAGGATATGTTTTCTCTCACACACCTGATATCACTTTTCATTATGAAATACTTCCTCTTTTATGATTGATATACTTCCTCATATCAGTTCATTAACTTCTACCAATATATTGCTTAATTGGTTTTTCAGATTTTGTGTTTCGTTTTGTCATTTCAGTTGTGAGTGCTCTGTTTTTCATTTCAACATGTTAACATCAAAATAGATAAAGTAATCAATAGACTGACCTTCACAACGTTTTCCATAATATCCAGGGGGGCAATTACATGTATAATAACTGGCAATACCATAATAATAATCTTGACAAGATCCACCATTTTGACAAGGTGACGATTCACAGGCTGTACCATTCAATGCTGAAAAAAAATATGAATGAATGAATGAATGAATGAATGAATGAATGAATGAATGAATGAATGAATGAATGAATGAATGAATGAATGAATAAATATCATAAATTAAATAGAAAATAAATACAGAGAATAACTAATAAATCATTAAACGAATGAAAATTAAAAAATAAATAAAAAATATCACTAAAATGAATGAATGAATGAATGAAATGAAAAAAATAAAAATTTAAGAATAATTAGAATATAAATAAAGATCTAATTAAAATTAAAAAAATTAAATTCACCTGCACAATTTGGAGGGGTAGAATACCCAATTGAACTATCTGGTCTAAAGCCATATTTATCTACACAATAATAGTTGCGAGAACTTGGATTATAGATATTAAACTCTGTCATCAGTCCACTGTAATCTCCTTCACTAGTACAATCTGGAATCTGGAACCAGGAGGAGTTCAAAGCATTGAATATAGAGGTGATAGGAACAGATAATTGTGATGGAGCTTGTTGCCGACCTTCTAGTATATCTAAGATATATTTTCCAAGACGTTTTCTTCGTGGACATATTCTATATGTTGATTCTATAAAAAAGAACAAAAAATAATGTTACAAAATTCTATTTTTCATTTGCAAAAACGATGACCTTTTCTCTGACCAAAGTAACAAGTTTTTGAATTTTGTCATCATTAATGACAAATGGAATAGTAATCTTCAAAATAGTACTGTTAATCTTAGAATGTCTTTGTGTTGATAAAATGAGACTTTTGCAGTTGAAATTTCTAGGAGGGAAATGTGTTTCTTTTCAATATAAAGTTACAAAAAATTATATTTCTATCAATGCAAAGATATTGTTAGATAAACAGTAGTCTACTATTTTGAGGCTGATATTTCAATTCTCTTATAGAAAAAATTCAAAAACAATTTGCTTTGCTCAGACAATTAAAACTCCATATATCACATTGTAAGACCATAATAACTCTAGTCACTTTTTAACCAAGCAACATTAAATTCAAACTTGATATCATACTATTAGTAAGAACATCATATGATTCCAGCAAGCTACAGAGACAAATTGTCTTACCATAGTCATTGACCTCACATAAAACACCTTCTCTATAGTATGGACAGCTACACAAATTTCCCATTTCAACTTCTCCAGTACAATTACCATCTCCACATGGATCTTCAGAGAAATAATCACACACATTCACTGAAAGTAAAAGTCACAATATTGTTGCTATTGTATATTATACATGTATATACTTTCTCAGTTCACCTGATGATAGCAAGGTAAATGGTCGAAAGTTTGTGTATAATAAATCCAGGCCTGGTATTGCCGAAACAATCTAAGCACTAGGACGTCCTAAAAACAGTTAGAGATTAAAACCCTATGAAGTCCTAGTGCTAAGATTGTTTTGAGAATACGAGGCCTGTAGTAGACCATTGTATTTTGTTCCTTATTTACCCCTAAACATATCTTTATTAGTCCTGAAATGATATTTCATTGAAGAGGTTATGTATGATATGTATATGTAAGTATGCACAATATGCGTAGTGTATTGTGGCGTTGTATATCGATATTAATTGCTGATACCTGTCATTCCATAATAAATGGGCATTTTTTATATGCAATCACAAATTTTGACTTGATCAAAGTTACATAGTTATAAATTATTGAATATTAAATTCTATCCCATTACCCCATATTGCGATACATATCATGACCATATATACATATCGTATCATGGCCTTATTGGCGATACCCAGCACTAATCTAATATATTATAATTTAATTGCTGGGAATGTCACATTGTAGATACAGTACTCAGTAATATGTACATACCATTACACTGTTCACCATAATATCCTGAATCACAGATACAATACGCACTACCAAAACTACTAGGATAACATGTACCATGGTCACAATTTAACGTATCACAAGTTTTTTGATTAACTGAAAAAATACACAGGGATTGTTAGGAGTTTTTCTGTTTTTTTTATGTGTATCAGGGACAATCATATTATCAATCTATCAATAATATCATTCAAATTTTCAGCCAAACCTCTGTGGGTATTGCAATAAAAGAAAAAATCAAAACTGGTTTATAACCTATTAAATTCTATGTGGTAAATTTTGATTGTTACTGTTTGTTTTTTAAGAATCTGTCCCCATTTTATATTAATAACAATTATCATTTTAAAATCTAATAACATAATAGCTTTAAAAAAATGTCCGAAGCAGCTCACCACATTGTTCATCAAAACTAGTCGTCATTCTGTTGATCTGGGACATTAAAGCAGATGGACAATCGGAAGCGGTAAAGTTATGGTGCTCTACACACATCATGGTTTCATTCAACATCCTGTAACAGACAGTAGTTAAGATAAAATATCGGGACAAACCATCTTTAATTCAATTTTTTGTCATTTTATTGGTCAGTCACTAAAATTGATTTTAGATCCAGTTTTATAAACCAATCAGATTAATGTATTTATTCAAGAGTTCAAGAAGCTACCCAAATGCCTCAGACCCACTTTCCTGACTTTATTGAATTCTAAATGGCTCTGACATAGATCTTTCCTGGATGATTTCCACTTATTTAGATCTAAGTCAACTGGGATAATCTGTCTGAAGTTAAAAATGAAACATACGAGCAGTAGTTTAAACTAATTCCAGAAGAAGGTTGTTGAAGAAAAGAACCAATTACTGCCAAAGAACTATTGGAACATTCTAGCAGAGTTCTAAAACACTGTTGCATTCCATCTAGAATTTAAAATAGAAGATGGAGTATATCATCAAATATGATCGTATTAGTATTTATAAAACAAATATTACAATATTCTCTATAAAGACTTTAGAAAAGGTTAACTAAAAGAGCCTGAAACTGCATTACTGAAGTAAATAATATTATGTATTCCACTTAATTTTAATTACTAAAAGGCCATGGTTTCTGGGGGGTTGGTTTGGGTTTTAAATATATGTAAATAGTAGCAGAAGTACTAAAACTGCACAAAAATGGCATAATCCCTTCAAGCACACTTCAACCTGTTCTTTTTCTTTTCTATATATGGCAAAGTCTCAAGAAAAGTCATCATTTTGACTTGCAAACACGGATAATCTTGGCCACACATGGATTTGGACGGTGAGCTGTGAACACTATTACTGATTAGCTTAGCCAAAAAATTCCCGTTTCTGAGAACAAGGTACGATTAGTCAAACAGGTGAATCTGTCCCTTTAAAGTGATATTAAAAATGCAAAATATATGTTCTCTTCTAGTGACCTCGGCCAGTGCTTGTATAGAACAGTATCTTTTATAACACCCAATACTACAGAATATAGTAAACTAATCTACCTGGACCACAAACTAAATCCAATAACTGTTTACTGGCATTATAAGTATCTGTCAGAATTGTACAGTTCTCCAGTAAACCTTCCTGACACTTTAGTTGTTTACGGTTTAAACTGAAACAAAATAGATAAAGATAGAGTATTCACAGTTAAACCCTTGCCAACTGTCCTCATCTTATACAATATCTAATATACTAACATGGACACTCAGAGCTACAGAGACCTGTACTTGACAAAATGACTGTAGTTTGTGATCGGAATGTATTTTTGGAGATTAAAGAAATACCTGCAATACATGTCTGGATCAGCTAAATCATTGATAGTATGATTCCTCATGATTTCATTACTACATTTCATCATTCCAGTCCTGCAAACATCTCCGGAAGGATCTACAACTACAATAAATAAATTTCTCTTTATTTCATAGGAATTTTTACAGGTGTCTTGGCAAAACATTTAAAAAAAAAAATACAAAAAATAGAGTAAATAAATAGAAATTTATCTAAAACAGAACCCAAAAAAACACATGGTTACTCAGAGTTTCATGCTTTGCGATCTTCAGACAACTGAACTATTCAGCCTGCATTCCGCATAGTGTGAGCAACAACATGTCTTTTTAGGTTTTGTTTTATTGCTCCACAATTGATGTATTGAACACTATTTTAACAGTGGTATTTCTATATCACTCTACAATTGATGTATTGAGCACTATTTTAACAGTGATATTTCTATATCACTCTCCAAGTGATGTATTGAGCACTATTTAACAGTGATATTTCTATATCACTCTACAATTGATGTATTGAGCACTATTCTAACAGTGATATTTCTATATCACTCTACAATTGATGTATTGAGCACTATTCTAACAGTGATATTTCTATATCACTCTACAATTGATGTATTGAGCACTATTCTAACAGTGATATTTCTATATCACTCTCCATTTGATGTATTGAGCACTATTTTAACAGTGATATTTCTATATCACTCTCCAAGTGATGTATTGAGCACTATTTAACAGTGGTATTTCTATATTGCTCCACAATTGATGTATTGAGCACTTTTTTAACAGGGGTATTTCTATATCGCACTACTATATATGTATTGATCACTATTTTAACAGGGGTATTTCTATATCGCTCTACAATTGATGTATTGAGCACTATTTTAACAGTGGTATTTCTATATCACTCTACAATTGATGTATTGAGCACTATTTTAACAGTGGTATTTCTATATCACTCTACAATTGATGTATTGAACACTATTTTAACAGTGGTATTTCTATATCGCTCTACAATTGATGTATTGAGCACTATTTTAAAGGGATACTACGTCTTAGGATGAACATAAAATTTTAATTTTGCTCAAATTTGGCCAATAACAGTATATATCCATCTGTGGACTTACCTGGTGTCCTAACTATACATCAAAATCCCTCTATAATCCAATATATCCACAAAATCAAGTAATTAATTATAAAATGCTTAATACATCCATTAAGCAATTTTCAAATCTTGAGTCTAGGAAATCTGGTGTAATTTTCAAGGGAAAGTAACTCTCAAGTGGAGTTTCCCACGTCCTTGACCTCTATTCTTGAATTGACCTCGACATTGTCATATTTTGAAGACGGAATAATGATGCCTCGTAGGAGATTAAGCGACTCCGTGAAAAAGCAATTCATATAATTTAGAATGAATACTCCATCACTGGCACAATATTCAACGAATATTAATCATTGGCAAAGTTTGTTTGTATAAACCGGAAGATGATTGTTTCCTGTTTTAGCGTTGATTACCCAGACTCTGTTTTTCTCAAACTGAACGGATTCATGGCTTGCTCACTTTTTTTAAAACTAAGATGTAACTTACCCGATGCTGAACATGTTGTATTATAACCATAACTATCTACAAATCTATAGTCACATTCTCCACAGTCTGTTTTACTGAAAACACAAACAAACATTGTAAACTTTATCACAGGGATAGATAGGAGGATGTCTTAATTTATAGATCTTGACAACCTCCCAACGTTTCTTTTGTAAAGATAACAGTTTGGGTTGGCCCATTTCCACAAAGTCGAGCTATTACAACCTGCATCTAATACCTGGACTCTGGCTGTATTCAGTATGATACAATCCAATCAGATAGCCTTATTTACAAACTTTAGTGATACAAGAAAAGGGCCTAATGAAGTCAAGGTAATTGTGAAAATGGAGTTGGCCAAGGTAATGGTCATGAACCATTCACAAGAAGGATAACATGTTGGTTTAGCCACAATATGGTCATGATCCATTCACAAGAAGGATAACAAGTTGGTTTAGCCAAGATATGGTCATGATCCATTCACAAGAAGGATAACAAGTTGGTTTAGTCAAGATACAGTCATGATCCATTCGCAAGAAGGATAACAAGTTGGTTTAGCCAAGATATGGTCATGATCAATTCACAAGAAGGATAACAAGTTGGTTTAGCTACAATATGGTCATGATCCATTCACAAGAAGGATAACAAGTTGGTTTAGTCAAGATACGGTCATGAACCATTCACAAGAAGGATAACATGTTGGTTTAGCTACAATATGGTCATGAACCATTCACAAGAAGGATAACAAGTTGGTTTAGCTACAATATGGTCATGAACCATTCACAAGAAGGATAACAAGTTGGTTTAGCCAAGATATGGTCATGATCCATTCACAAGAAGGATAACAAGTTGGTTTAGTCAAGATACGGTCATGATCCATTCACTAGAAGGATAACAAGTTGGTTTAGCCAAGATACAGTCATGATCCATTCGCAAGAAGGAAGACATGTTGGTTTAGCCTAGATATGGTCATGTACCATTTGCAAGAAGGATAACAAGTTGGTTTAGCCTAGATATGGTCATGATCCATTCGCAAGAAGGAAGACATGTTGGTTTAGCCTAGATATGGTCATGTACCATTTGCAAGAAGGATAACAAGTTGGTTTAGCCTAGATATGGTCATGATCCATTCGCAAGAAGGATAACATGTTTGTTTAGTCAAGATACAGTCATGATCCATTCGCAAGAAGGATAACAAGTTGGTTTAGCCAAGATACAGTCATGATCCATTCGCAAGAAGGATAACAAATTGGTTTAGTCAAGATACGGTCATGATCCATTCGCAAGAAGGATAACAAGTTGGTTTAGCCAAGATACAGTCATGATCCATTTGCAAGAAGGATAACAAGTTGGTTTAGTCAAGATACGGTCATGATCCATTCGCAAGAAGGATAACAAATTGGTTTAGTCAAGATATGGTCATGATCCATTCGCAAGAAGGATAACATGTTGGTTTAGTCAAGATACGGTCATGATCCATTCACAAGAAGGATAACAAGTTGGTTAAGTCAAGATACAGTCATGATCCATTCATTAGAAGGATAACAAGTTGGGTTATTTGAGATCCTGGTCATGGCACATGGGTTATCATAAATCATTTTCAATAGTTGATCTTTAAAGATAACTTGAGCTCAAGTTAATAACCAAATCTCATGACACAATTTAACACGGATAACAAACTAGGTTATTGAAGATCCACTATCTGTTTGTCTTCGATTAAAAAAAAGAAAATGAAATGATTATGTCCTACTTTTCTGTTTGTCTTTGATCAAACCTCTCAAACCTTAGCATATAAAATGGTAAGAAATTAGCCTTGTTCTTCTATAGATTAGCAAAATATAATTTCTACTTACACACATTTAGCTGAAGGATTTCCAGCACAAGTTTGTCCTACACATGGATTGATAAAACAGTTAACTTTCTCTACTCCTGGTGGACATTCTACATCTACAGAGATAAATTTACAAATTAAAGAGAGAGTATGCCTGATTTACTTGGTACATTGGTGTCTAATTTAGAATATCTTTATTATAGTCTAAACTCAGAGATCAAAAGGCACGTTTTGGCTTAAAGATGTTTTTGGTACGCTCTCTACTGGTGAAAGAAAGATAACAAGATGAGTTCTTGTTATCACTTATACACTTATACAAATATATAGACACAGCTTTTGGATCATCAAGGCACATGAAGCCTGACTGCAGCAGGAAAAACAAAATCAAGTGCTAAATGCACAGATTTTCACAGGACTAATTCTTTAAAGTATAATATACAGTCATATACTTACTATATTCTTCACAACGTGTTCCTACCCAATTACCCATACAATAACACTTTCCATTCAAACAACTACCATAATTTTCACAACCACATTCATTAGGAATTTGGGTGGTACTCCCTGTAATAAATACTACCTGGCTTTAATCATTGAAGAAGAAATAGTAATTTAATCAGTCACTTTCCAGACTATGATTTCAGCCATATATATTACTTTTACAAATTAAATTATCTTTCACATTTTATAATATATTACACTGCTTCAACTGATGATAAAAAGGTTTTTTAGATGATAGTTCTATAACTTACTGGAAAAATCATCACAGTATTGTCCAATGTACGGTCCAGTACAGGAACAATAAGATCCTCCAATACAACTACCACCATTTTTACAATATCCACCATTACACCATTCTGCAGTTGACTGGGTTGTTGTCACTGTAGTAGAGAATAAGTACTGTAAAACAACTATCATATAACAAGCTATAACATAGAAACAGTGGATCATACTCTGTTTTATAACTCAGAGTAAGGCCCAGATTACTTCTGTCTGTAGTTGCCAAAGCATCGTATGTATCTGTAAGTGTACAAAATCGTTCCTTCTATTATTAGTTAAACCAACTCTATTTTTCCACAATCTGTATTGCAAATACACAAGGGTCCCCACATACCACAGACCGATAGTCTATTGAGCGATTTTTTGTGTTCTTGGATGTTGTACAGATCTTAAAATAGCCAGATAGACGTTAGGGTATTTCCAGAAAGGGTACTTCCCGACAACAGATGTGTATACACCTGCACAATAGGAGTATGATCCTTAAGAAATGTCCAGTGTTTCCATAAACAGAAAATTGTATAAAACTCTAATTAAAATTGTAACATAAATTGTATTTTTTCATAACATAATCACAGCGAAAGAGAGGGAAGAAATTTGATTGGCTAGCGTCTGGTGGTGTCATCAAACAGAGGAATGAACGCCCTTAAACTCTACCACACCCACTGCCTCAATCAAATCCTCCACCCCTAATCAAATTCTCCACATGAAAAGGTGATTCAAAACTTACTGTAAAAATCACAGTATTTTCCAGTATGCATTCCTGAACATGAACAATATCTTCCCTCAATACATCGGCCACCATTTTGACAATATCCACCATTACACCATACCATAGGAGGTGGACTTGTATTCACTATAATTCACAAATAATAATAAAATACTAAAATTCCAATGTGACCTTTGCTGTTTAATGTTATTTCTCAAATGTTGTTTCAATTCTCTAAGGGAACTATAACAGTTTAATCATTAGGGGACAAGGGCAATAACTCCATTTCTTTTCATCTGAGAGGGCTCAATTTAAACTTGATTTGCATGATTATGTAGTCACAAATCAGGACATATCAAATTGTGGTTAAGAGGAAGCAGTAATCTTACCAGACATATTAATTTTTACAAATAAAATTACCCTTCACATTTTATAACATATTACACTGTTTCAATTGATGATAATAACAACAATATTTAACACCAGTTTTTAAAGTTTTCTAGATGATACTTCTATTACTTACTGGAATAATAATCACAATATTGACCAGTATATGGGCCTGCACAAGAACAATAAGATCCTCCAATACAACTACCACCATTTTTACAATATCCACCATTACACCATACTGAAGGAGGGTAGGTTGTTGTCACTGTAACAGAGAATAAGCACTGTACAACCAGAGGTGTATTAAGGTGGTAAGTTTTGGGTCATGCCCCCTCCCTCAGGTCATAAATAAATGAAAAATTAATTTTTCTTTTACTTAAAAATCATGTTAAATGCATTCTCTGGCTTCCAAAATTAGAAATATTTCATGGCGAAGGCCACCCTAACCCCCTACCATAATAAGTACCTCTAAAATCTGCAAAGGAAAGGTGAGGCGCTCAGATAACCAAGGGTAAGGTGTGTCTAATGTTTCTATTACCAGAAAATATTACAACAGTGGACCAAACTCTAGAATATAACCCAGAGTTAGGCAATGTCTGGTGTTTCTATTACAAGAATATATTACAACAGTGGACCAAACTCTAGAATATAACCCAGAGTTAGGCAATGTCTGGTGTTTCTATTATCAGAATATATTACAACAGTGGACCAAACTCTAGAATATAACCCAGAGTTAGGCAATGTCTAATGTTTTTATTACCAGAAATTATTATAACAGTGGACCAAACTCTAGAATATAACCCAGAGTTAGGCAATGTCTGTTGTTTCTATAAACAGACAATGGTACAACATTTGACCAAACTCTGGAATATAACCCAGAGTTAGGCTATGACTGGTGTTTCTATTATCAGACAATAGTACAACAGTGGACCAAACTTTAGAATATAACCCAGAGTTAGGTGATGTCTGGTGTTTCTATAAACAGACAAAAGTACAACAGTGAACAAATCGCTGGAATAAAGCCTGAGTAAGGTGTTGACTGATGTTTCTATAAACAGACAACAACAAACAGGGAATTAGATAGTACCTGATGTTTCTATCAAATTGATATCATTGAGACTGGCCCATTTTCCTTCCTTCATTTTCAAATTTCTTATTATTTTACAAAAGAATATAATTGCACACCCCTACCACCATACTCCCCCCCCCCTATTTGACAGTTTTCTGGCATATTATTGGCTTCACCTAGAAACTTCACTGGTGAAAAGGTGAATCAAAACTTACTGTAATCTTCACAGTATTTTCCACTATACATTCCATAGCAGGAACAATATGATCCTCCAATACAACTACCACCATTTTTACAATATCCACCATTACACCATACTGAAGGAGCGTAGGTTGTTGTCACTGTAATAGAGAATAAGCACTGTAAAACCAGAGGTGTATTAAGGTGGTAAGTTTTGGGTCATGCCCCCTCCCTCAGGACATAAATAAATGAAAAATTAATTTTACTTTTACTTAAAAATCATGTTAAATGCATTCTCTGGCTTCCAACATTAGAAATATTTCATGGCGGAGGCCATCCTAACCCCCCACCATAATAAGTACCTCTAAAATCTGCAAAGAAATGCCAAGGCGCTCAGATAACCAAGGGTAAGGTGTGTCTGATGTTTCTATTATCAGAATATATTACAACAGTAGACCAAACTCTAGAATATCACCCAGAGTTAGACAATGTTTGGTGTTTCTATTACCAGAAAATATTACAACAGTGGACCAAACTCTAGAATATAACCCAGAGTTAGGCAATGTCTGGTGTTTCTATAAACAGACAATGGTACAACATTTGACCGAACTCTGGAATATAACCCAGAGTTAGGCAATGTCTGGTGTTTCTATTATCAGAATATATTACAACATTGGACCAAACTCTAGAATATCACCCAGAGTTAGACAATGTTTGGTGTTTCTATTACCAGAAAATATTACAACAGTGGACCAAACTCTAGAATATAACCCAGAGTTAGGCAATGTCTGGTGTTTCTATTATCAGAATATATTACAACAGTGGACCAAACTCTAGAATATAACCCAGAGTTAGTTAATGTCTGGTGTTTCTATTACCAGAAAATATTACAACAGTGGACCAAACTCTAGAATACAACCCAGAGTTAGGCAATGTCTGGTGTTTCTATTATCAGAATATATTACAACAGTGGACCAAACTCTAGAATATCACCCAGAGTTAGGCAATTTCTGGTGTTTCTATAAACTGACAATGGTACAACAGTGGACCAAACTCTAGAATATAACTCAGAGTTAGGCAATGTCTGGTGTTTCTATTATCAGAATATATTACAACAGTGGACCAAACTCTAGAATATAAACCAGAGTTAGGCAATGTCTGGTGTGTCTATTATCAGAATATATTACAACATTGGACCAAACTCTAGAATATCACCCAGAGTTAGGCAATGTCTGGTGTTTCTATTATCAGAATATATTACAACAGTGGACCAAACTCTAGAATATAACCCAGAGTTAGTTAATGTCTGGTGTTTCTATTACCAGAAAATATTACAACAGTGGACCAAACTCTAGAATATAACCCAGAGTTAGTTAATGTCTGGTGTTTCTATTATCAGAAAATATTACAACAGTGGACCAAACTCTAGAATACAACCCAGAGTTAGTTAATGTTTGGTGTTTCTATTACCAGAAAATATTACAACAGTGGACCAAACTCTAGAATATAACCCAGAGTTAGGCAATGTCTGGTTTTTCTATTATCAGAATATATTACAACAGTGGACCAAACTCTAGAATATAACCCAGAGTTAGGTGTTGCCTGGTGTTTCTATAAACTGACAATGGTACAAAAGTTGGAACACTCTCTACAATATAACCCAGGTGGTACCTGATTCTTGTTATTTCTAGTAACAGACCAAGGACCTCCCTATAATTGAGCCTGGCCTGGTTTTGGCTCCCCCACTTATTATTTTACATAAGAAAATGATTGCATGTGTGCCCCCCTAGACAATTCTTAGGCATATTATTGGCTTCACCTAGAAACTTCACTGGTGAAAAGGTGATTCAAAACTTACTGTAATCATCACAGTATTTTCCAGTATACATTCCATAGCAGGAACAATAAGATCCTCCAATACAACTACCACCATTTTTACAATATCCACCATTACACCATACTGAAGCAGGTGGATATGTTGTATTCACTATAATTCACAAATAATGATAAAATATTTTCACTGTTAAATTAGTGCTCAATACATCAAATAATATTCACAAATAATAATAAAATCATAATGACTTTTGCTTTTTGATTTTTTTTCTCGAAAGTTATTTAATTCTCTAAGGGAACTATAACAGTTTAATTATTAGAGGACAAGGGCAATAACTCCATTGGTTAAGGGGAAGTAGTAATTTAATCACTCACTTTCCAGATTATGATTTCAGCCATATATATTACTTTTACAAATTAAATTATCTTTCACATTTTATAATATATTACACTGCTTCAACTGATGATAAAAAGGTTTTTTAGATGATAGTTCTATAACTTACTGGAAAAATCATCACAGTATTGTCCAATGTACGGTCCAGTACAGGAACAATAAGATCCTCCAATACAACTACCACCATTTTTACAATATCCACCATTACACCATACTGAAGGAGGTGGACTTGTTGTATTCACTATAATTAACAAATAATAATAAAATCCTAAAGTGTCCTGTGATTTTGATTATATTTCTTTAATGTTGTTTCAAATTCAGGGGTAGCTAAAGCAGTTTCATTTAATACGTAACAAGGGCAATAACTCATTTTCTTTTCCTCAAAAAGCACTCAATTCAACTGTTCAACCAATATAGTTTATAGTCTTTTTTTCTTCAGAATGAAAAGTGTACCAGGTGTCATGAAGAGTAAGTATACCCTGCCTGGCATCCATCCTGGATCATTTTAACATACAGTACTTACTATTGTTGCTACAGACTGGTGATTCAAATATGTTGATCAGAGAATTTAATTGTTTTAGTATAATTTCTGGACAACCTGTAGAGTTATAGCCCTTGGTTTCTACACAACTAGCTGATTCATTGTACAAACTAGAAAATTTCAAACACATCAATAATTAAAATATGATTTAAATTAATACAGTTTAAAAGATGCATGCAATTTGAGACTTGAATATATGTTACTAATCTAATATGTTACAGAAAGACAACTATAACCAGTTTCTAATTCTTTTAGAACTATAGATTCTTGAGAGTTCTACAGTAAAAACTTGTTCCACCAAATATTACAATTATACCAAATTGTCAGCATTCATCAAACAAAGATAGAACTTTATTAATTCAAATTCTGTTGTCATGCCAACATACCTGCAAACCTTCTCTTTATCAAAACCTCTTGGATTATTGTTCTTGATAACATTGGCCTCCATGGTTTGTCTGTTACAACTAATATAGGTCTTTACACAGCTAACTGGCTCTAAATATACAATATATTTCATACAGACTGGCTTTGGTTTTAAACATCTTCACAATGTCAAGCTATTTCAATCATCAGCCATTTTTTTATCAGCAAATGCAGCCATTGGATCGTATTGTATACTAGTGATATTGTTTTTTTGTTATATTACAAAATGCAGCCATTTGTTTGTTTTGTACACAAGTAAATAGAGCTAATCAAAGCTATCGACAGAAAGAAGGTAAACATTATGGTTTATTGTTTACAGACTGCATTGGCTCTGATTGGCTGTTTTCTCTAGCATAAAATCCAATCAAATCACTATCACAAATTTCTGTGATACAAGAGAGATGACTATTGCAGTCAAGGAATTAGTCACTGTTTACTATAAGTGAATGAATATCTTGATAAGGGTTAAACAATATTGCTAATTGTCAAAATATTTCTAAAAGCATAGAAAAAAATTAAATTTCTCAGATCTAACTCTAGTTATGGAATGGCATGTTTCAACTATCCGGATTTTCGTAAAACTGCACGATTTTATCGGGAACGGGAATGTGTGGATAAACGAGGCTCCACTGTACATCACTGAGAATTGAAAAGACCTACCTTTGGCACATACAATGTCCGTTAGATTTTTAAGTTGTAAGTAGTCGCTGCCAGTCATGTTACCAGAACCATCAAAGCAAGCTAGAGCACGTTTCTGAACACTAGAAAAAGAAAAATTATTCATAGATTATGCAATTTGAAAAAAGAATTTGATTCCTGAGACAAAAATTATCAGTCATTTTCGGGTTTCAATTTTTTGCCCCTATTAACCAAAATATATATTAGACCCTTAGAAAAAGCAAAGCAAAGAAGTTTCTTCTGATGAAAATTATCAAATATTTTTCATTTTTAACTTTTTGTCACAAAACAAAAACAATAACAAAAACAAAAACAATAACAATAACAAAAACAATCACAATAACAAAAACAATAACAATAACAAAATGTCAATAAATTTACACTCAATTGAAAGTACAAGGTAAAGTTTATCAAAATATTCTGATGTCTAGTGGATGAGCATCAATGGGTATAACTTTGATTTGTTGAATCAAAATTGTCAAATAAAAAGTGAAAAATGTAATTTTTTTTTTCAAGGAAGGAAGACCAGAAGAGGCAAGTTGAAGGGTAGAAAATAATTAGACATGGATTATAAAGATTGTCATACCTGCAGAAGTAGGTTATATTACTAATCTGACTGATGTTGATATTCTTGTATACCTGGTCTACACATTCACCTGTAGTATCACCTATAATATCAATGTACTATATAATTGTGATTATATTACGCACCCTTTCTAATTCCCAGGTAGTCTAGAACTCTAGAAGTCTTTTTTACCATGAATAATGCTTATAATGCCTATGCCAATGCTTTTGATTGTAAAGAATTATTTGAACTACATCGGCTGGCAACAAAGTAGTTTTCGCTGTTTCTTTAATACAGGACATGGGAAGTAACTCTGGTTCCAATCATTAACTTGACCTTCATTTTAGTGATTTCAAAGATTTTATTACATATGCTAATATAGATCAGTCTAATTAAGATAGAAATGAGATTAAAAAAATCAAAATGTACTCACCGATTTTATTTTCACAATATTTGCCAGTATAGCCTTGAAGACAATAACAGTATTCTGTATTAGATGAAGACCAGCATGAAGCCCCATTCTGACAGTATCCACCATTACACATACTGACTGGTGAGGATGTACTGGTATTATAAACTTGGTGCTCACATTGTGCACCGTAGAATTCATCTGTACACTGACAATACCCAGAATTCATACATGATCCTCCATTCCAACAACCTTTAGTTAAACAGTTATTAGGTTCTCTTGTCATATTTGGCATGGGAGTAGTTGTTGGCATGGCTACAGTTGTTGGTCTATATTCACAATAAAGACCTGTATAGCCTGCTACACATCGACAAGCATTATTATCACAATATCCACCATGTTGACAATATTGGGAACCACATGGTGCATCTATAAAATAATATATTATTCATAAAGTAACATGGATCCTTAAACATTCAACAACATTTTCTATGCAAAATAACAGCACAGTTCAATAACTCAATTCAATAAAGAGGATTTCCAAATTTGTTACGATTATCAGGGACACTGATAGCATCAATTTGCACCATTCCAATTTTCATTCAAACGTCTGTGGTGCCTGCAATTCTACTAAAACTAAGTGTATGTGCAACACCCAGGCAAAATTTGCTTGTATCACATAAGATCTTTGCGGGGGTAAAGTCATAAAAGACTTAGATTTAGTGAAATTGCAGGAACCTCAGATGTCTGAGTGAAAATTGGAATAGTGCAAATTGATGCTATCAGTGTCCCTGATACACATACAAAATTTAGAATACCTTTAAAATCTCCCAAAACGTTTTTTTTTAAATATCTGATTGAAAACAAATTAACAAGCCTGTTTATAAACCTACAGAACAAAATGGATGATGTTTGAACATTTCAACTATGTTATATATAGAATCAGTTTGTGAAAATAGCATTTTGTTTACAAGGTTTGCCTCTATTTTACAGCAAACTGAACAATGAACTCTAAATAACACTCCTAAACACAACATGTAGGTCAAACAGAATTTCAAAAATCTTATGGTATAACATCTCATCATAGATAATCCTTCAATAAGAAATATATAAATATATATTTATATATATATAAATAAGACAGTTATTATGAAAAGATATCTTAAAATATTTCTTCCTTTACCGTTTAATCTATCCATATTAATTGTCTTATTTATCATTATAGATCGGCCTAGTAACTTACCAAAATTTTTGTTGAATTCACACATTTTCCCATAATAGGGCTGTGGACAGATACATTGGTAGTCAGTGGTAAGATCTATACAGCTACCCGCGTTCATACAGGGATTATAAAAACATCGGTTACCTGCAATCATAATATCAAAAAACTGTGTTTATTATCATAATAATAATAAACTATTTATTTTACATGGGTCAGAATTAGGTCCAATATATGGAAGTAACATGATCCTGTCTAACATTCAGCCCATGAAGACAAACAGAGACTCTTTATTTTACATGGGTCAGAATTAAGTCCAATACACACGGACATGATCCTGTCTAACATTCAGGATCTAACGACAGCCCTCTTGAAAGTTGTCAAATTAACCTTTTGATCTAATGATGTCTGCTTTAACCAATCAAATTTCTACCTTCTCCAGCACTGGCATTTTGTGACTCTGTGTTTATCAAGCTAGGTCAAAAGGTAAATTTGACAAACATTCAAGAGGGCTTCCTTAAGATCCTAACTGAAGTGGCTATATCAAAAATAATAAGATCGTTTCGAGAATATGTGGCCTGGGTTTTATCGTACACAACGTTTCAACAATTTACATTATCATCATCAGGTGAAATAATAGCATCAATGACTATAAGTTTGGAATTTTAGGTTGTAACATTGCTGTGAAGCACAGGCACAGGCATGTAGGTGTAATCTCTAGTGAGAGAGAATTGTTTGTGCAGTTAGTTTGAATTATAATATAGAATATTTGAATTGAAAATCCATAATCTTGCGAATCTGAAATATATAAGAATAATACGGTAGGGTGAAATGAGGATAGGCCTACTTACACATTGCATCAATGGACATTTTGGTTGAATTTTTTGTCATTTCTAATGTATTCCTGCAATCACCAGTAGCATTCTTGATAGTTCTATCCAAACAATCCTGTGTCTTGTTCATCAGGCTGTAATTCAATTATACCATATAGATTTGATTATAACTATTAAAGGACAGCTTTGCCATTTTTTATTAACTTTTATTTCTAATTTAGTCACTTCAGTTAAAGATGGGTTCTCTTATTTTCATTTATTAAAATGAAAATGCTAATACTTGTATTAATAGAAAGTAGAGGTGTTTCTAATGTCTTGGAAAAATACCAGTTTGTCTCACATGTCCATAATTAATTCATAATTAGCTAAATTAGAAGAGAATTACCAGCAGAATTCCAATGAGTGACCGAATAAGAAAGGTCAAAAAGTCTTTTTTTGTTTATCCAGACTGTACATACATGGACATTTTTGATTGGTTAAAACACTTAATTTTAAGCAATAAGAACATAATGATATGATTAAGAATACATGATAATTCATTAGAAACACCAATAAATCAAATAGTTTGCTTAATTTGACACTGAAATATAAGGAAATACATCTTTAAGTTATAAAGACAAGCCTCTTGAACATATGTCAGTATGATGATATCGCCAGCCAATCAAATTTCAAACGCTCAAATTTTGAAACGCTAACAAAAGGAACATTCCGTGTCAGCTTCTTGGAATTTTACTTTTACTTTACATCACAAAATCCCAGCCTTTGAGAGGGCAGAAATGTGATTGGCTGATGTTTACAAAAACTGATATATCTGTGTACAAAAGGAAGACATGAGATGAAGCCATTACATAATTCTCCTTTAATATCAGACTACATGGTAATCAACTTACCTACAAATTTCTCCGAGATGAGAAGTAATGCTTTCACCTTTCTGTTGGAGATTTCTTATCAAATTGGCAGCCTTGACACTCTGGGTTGTACATTGTGTTGTCAATAACAAACACTGTTGTTGACCTGACAATATATCATTACATAATTACAAATATTCTAGGGTGTGTAGAAGATAGGCCTTTTAACAGTTTTATTTGCCAATACATTACAAAATGTAGAATATCATCACCAGGCATTGAAGAACTAAGAAATATCATTTGAAACCGGATGGAGCCAGAGCCGAGCCGAGCCAGCCATGAACTCCCAGCACCCCCTTCCCACAGAAACGCTTCTTTATCAATATTAAATAAGGAAACGTATTAACCTCCACCACAAGTTTTATCATAATTTTGTTTTGCTTCTTTAATGCTTCCTGTCATATTTAAGTACTGGTTACAGAATGTTTCCTGGTTTTCCATACATTGTATACTCTCATTTGTTAAACTGAAAATAAAACCATTTTTCTAAGTTATTTTGTTTATGAAGGGTGGAATTTTGGGATCTTTTACTATATCTAATTATGCAATACAACCAACCTTAGGGAAACAGGGTTCAACGTTAGATGGAGCTACTAGGAATCTGTCGAGTTAGAACTTGTAAGTGAACAATTTGAAAGGAATGACCGTTGTGGGAGATTGAAGAACCAGGAATCTAAAAAGTTAGAACTTGGAAACGAACTGTTGTATCACTGCTCGCTGATCATCTCAGACATCTTGGCTTTATATTCAATACATACCTACAGAGTTTCTGTATGTTTGTCACATCACCATTTGTTACAAATTCTGTTATAGGTTTAGAACAATCTAATACTCTTCTACTACATTCTAATGGTCCAGAAACTAAAATAAACAACAATATCATCCATCATCAATACCATCTTCACAACATCAAGCTATTACAAACTTAGTCTTATACCTTGACTGCAATAGTCACTATTCTTGTATGACAGAAGTAAATGTAGTGATTTAACTTTAACATATAATGTAAAGAATTGTATTTGGTAAATCTTACTGTATATTGTTATGAAAGTCCTAATAATCAAAGTCAAGTGACAATTAACAGATGGCAGTAGCATATTAGATGTAGGTATTATAAATGTTACAGCAGGTATCAGATTTAAATTTAGATTGAAGAATTTCATTAGCAATTCAGCACACAAAATTCAATAAATTAGCTAATCAAGTTAAATTTTTATTCGCATTTCATAAAACTAAAATTAAAAATGTTCCAGTTACAGACTTCAGATCGATCTTGCCAATGGTGTTAGTTCCTCTTTAGATTTGGTAGAAAATATACAATATTGGATAATAAAACCTAACTAATTGATTTTTGTGATTGACCAATCAGATAACTAGAACACTAAAATCATCCAAGATTAAGTTTTCGAGATTAAGGCCCTTGTTCACTTAATAAGAATGAACTGGGATTTTAACATAAGAATAAGGGTGACTTACCAGTTGAAGAGTTGACAAAATTAGCTGGGGTAGGAGTAACAGTGGTAGTCTTACAGTCCTGACCAGTAAACCCTGGATAACACACACAATATCCACTACTAGAGCAATATCCATTGACACATGTACAGCCTACTGTAATATATAATACATCAACAAAATCAGAACATTAGCCAATCAACAGGCTCTTCCATAGTAATTTCACTGTTTGTTTTGTAAAATTTTACACAAATCTCACAAAATATTAAATGTGGATGCACAAAGCCTTTTTAAATGAGGAAGATTGTTTTGATTGGTTAATTCCCATAGTGCTATTCTGATCCTCGGGTTATCTTGCTTAGAGACCATAAAGCTGATGATGTTTATTTGATATTTAAATTTAACAACTTGGAATCTCTTTCAGATAGTTCATTGCTCATAATATTTATATTGCATTTAGGTTTGAGAACATTGCATCTCTTTCAGAGGTCCCAAAACTAATGATGTTTATATGGTGTTAAAGTTTTTCCACTCAGAAACTCTTTTGGAGAGTTCAAATCTAATGATACATACTTCACAATCAGGTTTGACTATATTTCATCTGAATCTGCAGAGTTTATGTTTTATGACATTCAGGTTTGAAAACTTGGCATCTCTTTCACTGAGTCCTTAGCTTTTATTGGATATTTAGGTTTGTCAACTAAACACTGTATGTGTCAAATTGACTTATGAGGAAAGTAAGCAAGGTAAGAAAATAACTATATCATGTCTTACTATATGGTATAGTTGATGTTGGTATAGTGGTAACTGGTCTAGTCACTGGTTCAAACAGATCTACAAATCAAAAAGAAACTGTTGTGATTTTTACTCAATTGGGTTGATAATGACAGAAGCAATGAAGTGTACAATAAGTGAAAACATAGACCACAGCATTAACCTTAGATAAACTTTGTGATATGTTTTTCCAATAATTCTATTATTGATCTAATGTTGAAATGTAATTGATTGAAAATACTATATGAGGTGATTTATTCACAAGTGAAATCAATATTAAAGATTTCAGGAAGTGTTTTGGATCTTATGTAAAACCATAGAATTATATGAGTTAAAAGAATGTAAAAAACTTTGTCTAGCCATTACTGCACATGATTAACATGGCCTTATCTGGTGTCAAGATATTTTAGATATGTTTTTAGTTTCATTAACCTATTGTCAGGATAAGTTGTTCATTGTGAACATCATAATAATATTTCCAGTCTGAGATCTTCTTACCTGGTTTGTTTTCACAGTTTTTCCCAACGAACCCTCCCTGACAAATACAATTATATCCATTATTTTCTTCTCGACATAAACCTCCATTTTGACAGGGATTTGACTCACATGTTGCTAAAATTAAAAGTTCTTGTATGATTTAAATCTATATAAGTAGGTTAGCTCAGGCAGCAGTTATTAAAGGGAAAGGTGCAACATTTTAGGGGGGTTGATTTGAGTCTTGAATATTTTTAAATAGTCTTTAGAAGTACTAGATATGAAAAATCACTCAAACTTTTCCTGTTTTTTATAGATGTCTTTCTATAGATAGCAGTGTTTCAAGAAAAGACAACTTGTCTTTTTAAGTTTCAAATGAGGATAATTCTGGACATACATAGAAGGCTTTAAAATTGGGGTTTGCTTCACCATGATCAGGAGCCCTGATAATTTGGTAAGTTGACTAATATAGCTTTTTCTGTTTTAACACCCAAAATTAGCAAATGATGTCAAAATTTTGTAGGTAACTGTCCAACAACATACAGTTGATTTGGTTGGCTAAGGACCACAAGACTATTAAACATTGTAGATACTTGGCTACCATATGTTTGAACCTCTGACCATTGCCGATTCAAGGCTTTTTCTTGTTGCAGAAAGGTAGGAGGTAAAACTCCATTCGTTTCATATCATTTCATTTCAGACTTTTTCAATAGAGTACAAAAAATCAGTATGACTGTCAACTCAAATTCAACTTACATGTTTTTTTGTTTTGGCATAATTCACCAGTGTAGTCAAATGTACACAAACACACAAACTTGTTGTTTTCTGCCACACAGGAGGCACCGTTCAGACATGGTAAATCTGCACATGGACTGGGTGATACTAGAATATACAATAAGATACTACCTGAATAATGAAACATGTGGTTGCCTTCACCATATTACCTTCAGCCATAATCATTACAATTCTACTATACTCTTTTACACCATATATATACCTAATCCTTGTAATGACATTTAGAAGTATCACTGCATATTAAGAGACAACAATAGTTATGGATGTAAACTTCTATTTATTATTTAAACATATCGTTTCATTACACATTCAGGTCTCTTCACTTGAGAACGTTACCTGTATGTGTAATGAAACGTTGTGTTCAAAATGAATAAATAGAAGTCTATATCTATAACAATTGTTGTCTCTTAAAAATATACCTACTTAAACAAGCCACAGTAGAAATATATAGACACAGATTTATGGAACAACAATCACTGGTTAATGTTTTATGCAATGCTTTAACGTTTCGACGTTGTTCCATAAAGCTGTGTCTATATATCGTACTCACAATTGCTAAATGCCATTTAAAGACTTTACAGAAGAAATAGTTTGGGGATTGTTGAAGAGATGGTATATCTTGCTAGGGTATAGGATGTAAACCCACCTTGGTCTGTATAAGAACAGGTATAATCACCAATAAGCTGAGAAAACTGTAAAGCAAGGTCCTCCTGACATGTTAAGGGTTTAGCACATTCACCAAAAGCCAAATATATTCTACAAGGTTAATAGTTAACAAAAAATAAACAAAACAAAACTATAGTTGGTTAAAGATATCTTAGCATGTTCAATTTCTAGGGTATATTTACCATTATGATCAAAAGTAAACATGGTTTTTGAGCCCAATAAAAGATAAATGAGACAAAGCCTGTTTAATATCTCTTATTCTGCCTTATATTTAATTATTATACCTTTAAACATAGCAGGCAGTTCCTATTTGACATTTCCTAAATGTGCATAGATATCTCCTACCAACTGTACATGCAGAAATAAATTAAATGTTAAAAATAAGCAAATCAAAACAAAAGCTTATCATTAATAAAAATAAAAATTATGTTAGACTCAAAACAATAAGATCATTTACAGGAACAAACACTAAAAGACACATACTTCTCCCATTTAGCATTTCAAAACAATCCTAGTTCAACATAATTAGTGTGACATTGAAACCTGCCATTGTTCCAGTCGATATCCCCACCCCTTAATCCTTCTGTTATGAAACAATTTGTAATACAATTTATGACTTACAAATCACAGAGATATGGTGAGTTTTGTTTTCCTAATTCTCCATCTACACATTGCTTCCATTCCTTATAGCAACTTGTTTCTGTTCAGGATTTAAAATGTTTAAAATTAGGTCAGATTTTTACACAGGACAATTTTTAGCCAAATGTCAGAAATTTTTTGGAGGTTGTATTCTATTCATTATAAACAAACAAAAATTTGTATTTTTTTTAAACCAAAAGTCTTTCTTAGACTATCTAAGCTTAGAGCTGATATTTAAATTCATGTAAAAAACAAAAAAAAATTGTTATTTGCCAAATCACTATCTGAATTAAAATCTGACATAAGTAACAAAATATAAGTTTCACTGCATTTTAGTATTAGTACAAAACATTAGACCTAATTCATACACAGGTTTCACAGCACACCAAAATAAGAAAGCATTAGAGAAATTAGACATGCAAATTCAAATAAATTTCAAAAAGATAAAACATTAAATAAAATATGATTAATATATAGCAGTTAGAATTAATTAGTTACAAACCAAAATCAAGAAAAGTGCAACTAAAAATGATGCAATTCAATAGTTACGATAAAATTATGATCTTATAGTCAAGCGAAGATATTTTTGCACACAATAGTCATGAGCAGTCCATTTGAGTTTTAGGTAGGAAAAGGAAATAAGTTAGACTTATACTGTCCATTACTGCTTACACTACCTACAATTTAATTTGGACTGCTCATATTTCTGTTTTGATTCTGACCTGGATGTGCAAAATTATATTTGCTCAAAATATCTCACTTCAGGACAGAAGATTAAAGAATGCTTTGAATCATTGAAATGAGCATGGCCATTATTTGACAGGCAACAAAAATCACCACCAATCTTAAAAATGAGCTCTTCCATACACCACTAACACTGATCAAAATTATGCATGTGAGGAAAAGTTCACTTTAAGTTGAGGGGTGTCAGATAATTGGCACACTATTTCCACTATAAAAATAAATGTCGAGCTTACCCTGTGCATTAAGTTTGAGGACACAGACCACTAATATTACTAGTAGCCTGTAGAGTGGTGGCCCACCACCTCTTGTTGTCATTACTCTTCTATAATTCTTCTATAATCTAGAAATAAACAAATTAAAATAATACAGATATGGTTTTAAATATAGGTAGGAAATTATAAATATTAAATTGTGGCAGGTTTTTTATTACCACTCTTCTGCTTGATATCTCATTTCATAGCATATCTTGTGTTTACAAATACCTCTGATTTCATCGATGGGGGAGGGGGAGGGCATTCGAGCACCATGGCTCCCCTTTTGGATTTGAGAGGGTATTAGTTGTGGCGGGGGGCCATGAAAATGTTCTTAACTAGGAAGGCGGAGAATGTATCTAACACGATTTTGGCAATGAAAGTAGAATCAAGTGGCAGCATGCCGGTTTTTACTGACATATGAAGGGGAAATTAATCGGGAACTGGCGAGTACTAAGAAGTCAGAGACACATAACAAAATCATATGTTAACACTTTAAAACATAAATAGTAAGATATCTATTACATAATTTGTACATCAATTCATTTCTGAAATCTATACCTTAATTGACATTGTAAATAAATAATTACATAACATTACTTAAATAATCTGTTTATATCATATAGAAATCTAAAACCTGAATTGACATTGTAAACTGTAATAGTTTAAAATTTATATCGCAGTAAACCTACACTGAAGATCAAATTTTTAACATTACATAAACAAGATAAAACCCACTTTATCTTCACCAGGAAATTAGAAAAGCTCCAGTAATCCTATAGGTCTAGGAGACAGGGGACCAATTATTATATTTATTATCATTAGATTGCAAATCTCAAGTAAGCCTACAATTTTTCTGCATCAACTAACTGTTCTACACCAGGGAACAAACACCATGTAAACTCATCTTAGAGTGTATTTTTCTCAGTGAATGCATTTACCCCTATTCAATTTTGTTATCTTTAATTGCAGAGAGTATATTGAGCAGTATTCAACCTTGAAATATTTGAAGTACAAAAGTTCTGTATCAAATCATGTGAAAGGGCAAAGGCCATGTTTTTTTTATAGCAATATACTTGGGGTAGATCTCCTAGCTAAACTAGGTGTAAAGAGTTAAACTCTATTTAAAGTAACTGACTAAGAGATATACATGCTCTATTAAATACAATAAGTGAAATATTTCTATAAGAAAAATATTATACGTAAGAATTGAGAGCTAGACAGCTAAACATCTTGACAGCTAGACAGCTATACATCTTGACAGCTAGACAGCTATACATCTTGACAGCTAAACAGATGAGGCTTGGATAATATTATCAAAACCTCTAAAGATATTGAGAGCCTCTGGTTTTAAGTTATTATTTACCTCTGGAACTATTTAATCAACGAAAACTTCAACTTCTATTAAAATCAATACTGTGTCTGGTGTTGCATGCAGAGAAAGGCATGCTCACCATTTCTTAAAACTGGGCCCCAGGGCCACAAAACATTTGTCGTGTCCATCTTAGTTTTTATTCAATTTCATATTGCCCTTCACAACAACAAAAAGTAAAAGTTGCAAGTTTAATTTGATAATGCCAGAAACATTGTGCCCTAAGGAATTACAATGTTCATTTAAGATCTACAATGTTCACAATGTTCATTTAAGATCTACAATGTTCACAATGTTTATATCAGATCTACTATGTTCACAATGTTTATAATAGATCTACTATGTTCATTTAAGATCTACAATGTTCACAATGTTAGTTTAAGATCTACTATGTTCACAATGTTTATATTAAATCTAAAATGTTCACAATGTTCATTTAAGATCTACAATGTTCACAATGTTTATATTAAATCTAAAGTACAAGTATAATGATCATTAGATCTATAATGTAAGAAAGATGTAACTTGATATAGATTATATTTGAACAGTTCTAAGTGAAAGGATCAATATATTATATATAACCAATATTTATTTACTGTTTCTATTATACATATATAATCTTTCTAATATATCGCAGGCTACAGGGCTTTAACTTTTACCAGTATT